AATGGAATATTATGCTGCCATCAAAAATGAAATCTTGCCATTTGCAATGATGTGGATGGAACTAGAGGGTATTACGCTAAGCAAAATAAGTCAATCAGAGAAAGACAAGTATCATATGATCTCACTGATATGAGGAATTTGAGGAACAAAGCAGAGGATCATAGGGGAAGTGAGGGAAAAATGAAACAAGATGAAACCAGAGAGGGAGACAAACCATAAGAGACTCTTAATCTCAGGAAACAAACTGAGGGTTGCTGGAGTGGTGGGGAGGGATGGGGTGGCCGGGTGATGGACACTGGGGAGGGTATGTGCTATGATGAGCCCTGAGAATTGTGTAAGACTGATGAGTCACAGACCAGTAACCCCAAAACAAATAATACATTATGTTAATAAAAAAACAAATTAAAAAAAAAAAGAATTGTGTCTCTGAGAATGTATGGATGCTCCCATGCTATCACCCCAAGTGAAACCAATCCATCTGTGCAAACTGGAACATTTGCAGACTTTTGGTAAAGGGCCAGGATATGGCAGGGGGCACGGAGGGCTTCCCACAACCACAGGACTGTGATCTCCAAAATCAACTAAGAATAAACATAAAAATGCAATTAAAAAAAAAAAAAAACGGGTTCTAGCTATTTCTCTCTATTGTCCTGTCATCCAAACTGTAGCCCATGTCTTTCACAGTTCACCAATGGGCTTTACCAATTTCCCATGGAGAATATCGCCAATATCAGTAAGTTTACATACTCAAAACCACACAGAGACTTCGAGATATTCTTATTTAAGCTGATTTACAATTAACCCTTTATGTTTTCCCAATGAGGCTGAGGTTGGTTTCTGACAACCACAGCAGCATGTGAGACATTTATATCTGGATCTCTCTTTATAGATCAAACTCAACATGATTAACTTACAAGCTGCCTTTTCCAACTTCCCCATCTTAATCTCATAACTTCTTTCCTAGGCTCATGGGCTCAACACATTAACCTTACTTGCAGCTTCCTCCCCGTCCAGCATGGCACCAGGCCCTAAAGATTCTACCTCCACAAGCTTTCCTGACTCAGTCCCTCACCTGAGTGCAAGGCTGCATGACCTTTTAAAATACAAAATCAATGCTTAATCATAGTCAGTGCAAATGAATGTAAAAAGTCAATAAATACTAGTCATAACCCCAGCACTTTGATTTAAAACCATTCTTCAGGGATGCCTGTGTGGCTCAGTCCATTAAGCGTCTGCCTTCAGCTCAGGCCATGATCCCAGGGTCCTGGGATCGAGTCCTGCGGGGGGCTCCTTGCTCAGCAGGGAGCCTGATTATCCCTCTCCCACTGCCCCTGCTTGTGCTCTCTGTCAAATAAATAAAATCTTTAAAAAATAATAAAATAAAAATAAAACCATTCTTCAGATTGATATATTTTCTTTCTAGACCTATGTCTAGAAAGATACAAGCTCATAGATTTAAACAAAATGAGAGTAATATGAACCTATTGTAGTAAACTGTTTTCACTTAATATTTCAAGAGAATATTTTAATGGCCACATAATATTAGACTATATGCGATCATTGATTTAACAGGCCCCCCTATTTGTGGATATTTAGGCTATGTCCAATATTTTGTTATTATAAATAACTGTGTTGAATATCCTTGAAGCTAAATCTTCACAAACAACTCTAATTACTTCCTTAAGAAAAATTCTTAGATGTGGAATTGCTGAAAAACAGGTATAAACATTTTCAAAGGAGTCTGTTAAGTAATGCCAAGCTACCCTCTAGAAATAAGATATCAATTTTGACTCCTGTTTCCCTGCATGTTCACAAGCCTGAGTGTTGTAACATTATTTTTATTTTTATTTATTTATTTTTAGAGAGGGAGTGAGTGTATACGTGAGCAGTGGGGGAGGGGCAGAGAGAGAGAGAGAGAGAGAGAGAATCTTAAGCAGGCTCCATGCCCAGCATGGAGCCTTGATCTCAGGACCCAGAGGATCATAACCTGAGCTGAAACCAAAAGCTGGACGCTTAACCGATTGAGCCACCCAGACACCCCTATAATTTTGTTTTACTTGACATCAGTTTGATTCCAAAAAGTAGACTCACTTTCCCCCTTACATCTTGCTAGGACTACACAATGGCTACTGGCTTCCTATTATCCACCTCTTCCCACCACGGTCACGTGCGCTCACTCCTCGGACCGAGTTTCTGCAGGACAGCTCTGTGCCTATTACACTGTCTCAGGAAGTCCCTTCTATGAAAGCATCTCCATGGACTCTCCATCCTTAAATCGCCGGGAATCAGCTCCCTTGGGATTACTAGGAAGTTGCGAGAATTACATGTGCAAGGGTATGCCACGTACCTGGTCCTTCACTTCCCCAAATGCTCTGCAGGGGCTTGATCCTTCACTTGCGGGATCAAGGCATCATGTCTTTGCTGATGCTGGTCCCACCACCCTGAATGTTCTTCCCATGCATTTCTACCTGCGGAGATCCCGCCCACATGTCACCAAGTCTATCCCAAATGCCTAATTCCTTGCAAATGCTCTTCCTGTCCCTGCATGTGGGCTTCTCTCACGCCACAGATGATCTTTTTCTAAACTTTGATAAAAATCGTGACTGCCTTCTAGCTTATTTAGTAGCGAATTTTATACGACCTTCCTTGTTCTCCTGGACAGCAGGATCTGTCATGGATTCACCTTTGCATTCTTTTTATTACACGTGGTGTCCTGTGCCAAACAGGCATTCTATACAGAACTGAGGCGTTTAAGTCAGGATGGACAAGTTCATAGAAAATCTATTGCCACACTGTTGAGGTATAGGATAGGCTGGGCAGAGAAGGCAGACATGGCCCATGGAGCCCATCACCATATAGATTAATGCAAATGGCAGATGACAACATCCACACTGGGCAGAGAAGGCAGACATGGCCCATGGAGCCCATCACCATATAGATTAATGCAAATGGCAGATGACAACATCCACACTGGGCAGAGAAGGCACACATGGCCCATGGAGCCCATCACCATATAAATTAATGCAAATGGCAGATGACAACATCCACACTGGACCTGGTTATGGCCACGTTATACCCCAAGGCAGTGATGGCTACCGTTGTCCGAACATCTGTTTGGCACCAGTCTTGGAGCTGGGGGGTCTCATCCTGTTGAAGTGTACAACCCTAGGTGACCTATTACTTCCATTTTGCAAGAGATCAGAGGGAGGCTTAATAAGACTAATTAGCTTGCCTGAAATAACAGAGCCAGGAAGGGGCAGAATGGGACTCAAAGTCATGTCTGCCCAACGCTTGTCCATTCTGCTGATGGCCTCCTGATACGTGGGTGGCCTGGCAACTCATTACGTCCCTCTCCCTGGCTACAAGAAAGTGGGGACAGGACAGCTGTGGTTGCGATCAAGGAACTGGCCTCTCCTACTGATCTTATTGCCTGACATTTAAAGCATGATGTGGATATGGGGGGGTATAATGTAGAGGATGGGACAAAAGACCTGACATCTTTGAGCAAAAAGGATACCCGTGGTCAGGTGGGCACCTACAGCTGGAGTGAGGAGAGAGGCCACACAGACCTACTGGCCTGCTTGGGGCCGTGAGATGAATTTTTCATCCCAACAGGTGGTGAAAGGGCCTCAGATATATTGCTATACTTGGTGGTCTGTGACTCCAGGCCCAAGCAGGGCCCAGCCTGATACAATACCGAGGGACCCTGTAGGAGGGCAGGGGGGAAGGCCGTAGAGCAGGAGAAACGCTGTCTGTGATGCAGACAGACTCCACCAAAAAGACAAATAGATGCATAAACATAGAGTCATACGGAATTAAATTATAATGTAAATTTCATAACTTGCAGAATATAAAGGTAAATAAACCTATAGGGAGGGGACATAGAACTTTCTAGAGTGTCATGATCAGTCACAGGGGTTGGGATAATTCATGAGCCCAATTTCAACTGTCAAAGGACATTTCTTAGAAATCATGAGTTACAGTCCTCCAAACCTGCCTACGGGAGAGAAGACTTTTTAGCAGGGTGGGGGCTCGTTCAAAGGGAATTCGGAGACAAGAGGTCTGGGTGGGCTTGAGAGTCAGCATTTCTAAGAAGTTCCCAGGTGATGCAGCTACCACGGTCTGGGCAGCAAGGAATGAGAAAGTCAGCAGGGGAAGTGAGATAAACTGGAGGGAGGTGAGGGGTTTCTGAGAAGATATTATGTAAAAGAGGAGAAAACGTAGGAAACTATTATTCTTGCACATTATAGCAAGGTCTAGTACACATCTGTAAAAATGTATTATCCAAGTAATAGCTCTGAGCAAGAAAAAAAAATAACAAACCAAAATCAATCTACCTCTAGAGCTGGAAAATGCTTTAAAATGGCCCAGTACTCTTTAAAATGATCAAATCAACCACAAAATCATCTAAATGAAAAATGCAGCCAGTGTTTAGAATCTAACCAGGAAGCCTAGGGTGCTGTTTACCTCATTTTGGTTCTTTATTTTTACTTGTTATTTCTTCCACGAATTAGAAACCTGCTTAGTACCTATTACATTTTCCTGTTTACTGTAACTTCGAGGAATCCGGACAGCAGAGGAAAATGCTGGAGGAGAATAAAGCCCCGCCTTTGCTGTGTTGGTGCATTACCCCTTCGTTGACCCTGCAACAGTCTGTCCCAATCAAATACAACACCAAAGGATGGGGATGGTGGTGTCCCCGAATAACAGGGCTGGGGCTGGGTGGAGAGGAGACAAATCCTGGGACCTAGCTCCCCAGGCAGTGACGTCACTTCATGACTCCGTGGTCTGGCTATAGTCGCTAATCACATAAATGCCGTGGAAGGGGACACTGTCCGAGGACCAAGACACAAACCAAAAGTTACTGTCCTTATTATAACTGCCTCCAAATTCAATCCCCTCAACACTGCAGAATCTCAGATAATCCTATGATTGGGGGGGGCGGGTTAAAATGGAAAAATACAAACCTGTTATATTTCTAAGTTTTACCACAGTTTCTTAGGTAATTCAGTGTATGGCTTTGAGGGAAATTTAAGATGCGTGCAAGTTAACAGAATCATGTCTAGAACGTGCATTCTGATGGACACACGGTCTTCAAGTAAGCAAGCATCCCTGACAGGCTCGGAGGGACAGAACCAGCTACGGTTAACATTCTCTGGACGCGGCCGCCCTCACCGTCCTCTGGATCTGCAAATGGGGCTGGAAATAATGAGGAGCCAGCTTTTGCCACGTGACTTACTAAAGCTGCTCCCTGGGTATCATTTGGGTATTAAGTTGAATATTTATTCTTTCATGTCACAAGGGTATAATCATTAAATTATGGCTACAGTCCACTAAATGCATCTGGGGTAGAAAGAGCTTGAAAGAGCAGGTCCTAAAGTATTTAACACATCTAGGTAACGAGCTGTTTACAGTAGCTGCCTGGGATGCACATACGTTTTTGTGACTGGTTTGCTTCACCCCTGCGTATTACTCACTCATCATCCCCACCAGCAGACCCTCAGCCCCACGATGTGCCCTGCACAATACCATTTTCGGGGGAATGAAGATGAAAATAAGCAGCCTCAGGGTACTGTGAGATACAGAGCCCAAATTACAAAGCAGGCTGCCAGTGCTACCTTTTATTTTTTCATTTGCATTTTTAATTCTCTTTTTTAATTGTGGTAAAATGCATGTAACATAAAATTTATCAACCCAGCCATTTCTCAGGTGTCCAGTTCAGTGGTGCTAAGGACACTCACAGTGCCGTGCCATCAGTCTCCAGAATTCTTCTTGCCTTGCAAGACTCAAACCCGGTGCCTGTTAAACACTAACTCCACATTCACGTCTCCCCCAGCCCCTGGCAATCACCATCCTACTATCTGTCTCTACGGATCTGAGCAGGTCAGGAATCTCATGTAAGTGGAATTAGACAGTCTTTGTCCTGTTTTGTCCTTGAGCTTATTTCATTTAGCATAATGTCCTCGAGGTTCTTCCATATGTCAGAAGTTGCTTCCTCTTTAAGGCTGGATAATACTCCATCGTATAGACGTACTACATTTGTGTATCTATTCCTACACTGATGAATAACTTGCGCTGCTTCCATTTTTGGCATTCATAATGCTGCTATAAACATACGCGTACTGTAAATGCTGTCATAAAAAATACATAAGATGCTGTGGAAGAATTAAGGGTCTCGTAGAGGCAGATGCATCTGAGTTGACTGAAAATGAGACGACTTTCACCAGCCAGATAACAGAAGGGAAGGGTCTCTGGAGAGAGAGGGGCAGAGTGCACATGCTGGGGACGGGGAGGACAGGAGGCTTTGGAAGAAGCTACACAATACCCATGTGGGAGTTTGGCATGCTGGGAATTGAGGCTGGAGGGCGCCTGGGTGGCTCAGTCAGATAAGCGTCTGCCTTCGGCTCGGGTCGTGATCCCAGAGTCCTGGGATCGAGCCCCACATCGGACTCCCGGCTCAGTGGGAAGTCTGCTTCTCCCTCTCCCTCTGCCCCACCACCCTGGCTCATGCTCGCTCTCTCTCTCTCTCTCAAATAAATTTTAAAAAATATTTACGGAATTGAGGCTGGAGAGGTAGGTGGGGAAAGAGCTTGCCCTGATGTGGGTTGAGGGACCCAAGTCTCACTGCTGACGGACAAAGACACAGGCAAGTGCAGGTCACAAATCTCTCAGTGGTTTCCTGCATACATCATCCCCCACCCCCTTGGGTTTCCTTTCATCAACTTTGGGCCCTTTTCTGCTTCCTGCTGGGGGCTCTGGCTCCTGACCCCTGACTGGGTCACAGATTCCAGGCTCTTCTCTGGTGGCTGAGAGCTGGCCATGCAACTCCAGCTCGAGTGGATCTGAGGCCTCGCTATGGTTCCACCCCCCAGCGCACCCAGACTGGGAGCAATCAGGAGGCCCGTAAAGATCAGATCTGTTTCAGAAAGAAGCAGTCCACGGGTGGGAGGACAAGGGAATATGGGTTATAGGAGGGCAAGTCTCCGGAAAAGGACGGGACTGAGGGCTGTAAATAGAGGATGCCATGGGGGAGGAAGAGAAGGATCTGAGAAATACAAAGAAGTAAGAATAGGTAGGAACTAGATATTGAAAACGTTAGTGATGAGGAGCTAGGGTTGACTTCCAGGTCTCAGGCATGAATAATAAGAGTGTCCTGGATCAGCCCACCAAGCACCACGAGGGAGCTCACAACACGAGGAAAGTCCGGCATCCCCATTCCATGGTCAATTTCCAAGACTTCCCAATAGGATCACCAGATCTAATTTATATCCACAGAGGCACCAGGAGCCCCCCGACACGTTCACCAAGGAGCCAACAAGCAGATGCAGTGTTAAATCTTTTGTGGAAATTTTAAAGAGGCAAGATGGCTTAAACAAACCTTTTCCCTTGATTTAATGAGTGCTGTCAGGTGCTTCAAAACCAGAGGCCCGTCTAAACTGTACGAGAAGTTAACATTATCAAAGACAATCGTGCCTTCTTGGGGCCAGCTCGGCGGAGGGCGCTTCTGGTATTCCCAAGGGGCTTCTTTCTCAAGGTCTGTATACTCCATCACCCTTTCCACTGAAATCATCTGAAAGACAAAGGACACCACATGGCTTAGGAATGGAGGTTCTCACAGGTATTATGAGATTATAAATGAACTGTTGATCTTTTATACTAGCTGGTTAAGGACATCTCAGGTCTCAATATTCCCAAAGGACAGGAGGAAGAGTCTGATGAGGACTCTGATGATTTACAAACCTGTGCATGGTCTTGTAACACTCTCCCTTAGGGCTACTTCCTTCAGCATTACATTAAAACTAAAAGAATTACAGAAGTAGAGATTTTTAGAGAATGTTACAGATTTTATTTTATTTTTCCACTTTTCACATCTGAACAAAAAATACGAGGATTTTATCAAAGAAAGGAATACTTGTGGCCAAGAATCCATAATCTGGCTACAGAAGAGCCATCTGTCTTAGGGGAGCTGAACTGGCTAAGTCATCAAATCTCATTTTAATGATGAGTCACTTTCTCCTCTATCAGAAGAGCACATGGGAAAGATTTCTTTTTCATTGTTTTTCCTCTTTAGGAGAAGGTGCAAATATTCCAAAGAGGAGATAATTTACCTATTGACTAAGGCCTCCAAACAACCATCCCGATACCTTTGACTAGCACATCCCGAGAAGGAGCTTATTCTAACCAGAAAGAAGGGACACCAGCAAATTCAGGTGCTCAACACATACAAGAATAAATGCTAAAATGGGCGAGGGGGCGCAAGGGGAGACACCTATTCATTAAACAAACACCCTCAAAACACTGAATTCTTCTTTTATCAGGAATGAGGAATTACCCATTAAGAAACAAAAATAAACAGGCCTCTAAGAAATTAGCTTATATCCTCTCCAGGATTTCAGAACCTCCCTCCTACAGAGAGAGACATTTATTACATTTGAAGACAGTTTGTGGTGAATATAAAACCTGCTGACATAGCACACAGAAGACTGAGAAAAAGATGTATATATTTTATTTAACGTTAACCTTAAACAGATGGAAGAAGGCTCTAAAAAACTTGATTAGCTACAATGTAAAAATAACAGTTTTAATATTTTACATTAGAAGTGCTTTTATGCCATTTAATGGCAGGGAGACTTGAAAAGGCTCAGAACGTTCAGATAAACATTACCATATTCTCCACTTCGGCGCTTTGCCTGACACACCATTGGAACATCCCCATGAGTGTGAGGGCGTAGGACAAGGCCAGGCCAACCTGCCCAGCATCTACAGCAGAAACAGGAAGAAGAAGGGGAATAAAATTAGTTCCATTCTTTATTTATTTATTTATTTATTTATTTGACAGAGAGAGACACAGCTAGAGAGGGAACACAAGCAGGGGGAGTGGGAGAGGGAGAAGCAGGCTTCCCGC